ACCTTCTTGCTCACCTTTCAGGAAAAGCATCTGTCCCACTAGTGATGACTGGTGCTGTTTCTTGGCAGCTTCTGGCTTCAGTTTTTCCAAGTTGGCCTCCAAATCCATGTCTGCCAGTTCCACAGCAGAAAGATAGGGAGTCACAAACCTGAGACTAGATGAGTTAAAACTGAATAATGACCACAAGTTCCTTCTGCTGGGCCAGAGCCCACTGGAGAGTCTGGTGCATTACTCCGCTTCAGTCTGGGATGTTATTACCTGACCCAGGATTCAGCCCCCCTTCTTTTGCACCCTAGTCAGGAGGTTTCCACCCCAGAGGAGCCTGCAGGGAGCTCAGCACTTTGTTGGTGACTCAGCAAGGTCTTGGCTTCCCTGTGCAGCCTGAGCTAGACTCTGAGGAATGCTTTCTGATTGTCTTGACGTGGTCAGAAATCTTTACAATAAAGATTTTCAGAAGGAAATGTTGACGTTATATAAATAAATACAGAAGCATTGAGTAGAGAACTGACACCTTGCTTCTATTAATAAATCCCTTCTAGAAAGGAGACAGCCTACATTTAATACCCTTAAAATTAAACTGTTGTGAAATAGATATGCAAAGATCTTCAGAAAACTATACTAGGACATTCCTCCTTTTCTCCTCTTCGCGTATAGGCTCTGGTATTTTGAGAAAAACCTGTAGCAAGGATATTTCTTTTTACTCAGCTGAAGGGCAGCTAAAAAAACACCATGATCTCACTTATGAAAATAGCTACATTCCTGTAGACAAGGCAAGCTCAAGACAAATTGGTTTCTTTAAGCCTAAAATATAACCCTCAGTGTTTATGATGAGATGCTGGATGTTCTGTAATTTATTTGAAGGATAGTATAAAATAAAATATTCTGATTTAAAAAAACCTCTAATTTTTAGACTAAAAGTGTAGGGTTTTTTTTCTACAAGGTTTTCATTGCATCTTAGTCTTTTGTGTACAATTTCAAGTGCTCTTTTGCTAGACAAGCTGCCTTTTCTTCGTTTTTCCTTAGGATGATTAAGGATTGCAGCTTCTGACAAGTTAGGGAAGTCAAAACTGTGTTTGTATTGTGTGTGGGCCTCAGAGCGAGGATTCCCTCAGGCTTCCCAGAAATTTCAGGTGGCCTTTTTCAAAGCTGAGCAGACTACAACAGAGTCCATCCACAAACAGCTTGGACAAGATTTCAGTGCTTCTTTCACACACAGCTTTATATGAGCAAAGATGAAAGCAGCGGAGATATGAGAGGGCCCTTTGTATGGCTTCCAGAATATGAGTAATTTCTGGTATACTAAAAGTGAAAACAAGAATATGCTTGATTTTTATCTGCCTGGTTCGATAGTCTCATTTATGAAAGAGAAAAATGCACTCAATTAGTGCAATTCTCTTATTTCAGCTGATTTGCAGGGGCTCAGCGCTGAAAACTGAATGAAAAACAATAGTTTATATTTTCTTCCATGTCTGAGTTCATAACAGAATTTACTGGTGTGGTATTTAGTAGATGAATCATTCCCCCAGGGTCACACAAGGGAGAATGACAAGTGATGCTTTCAATCTTCTATCACCAAAACAAAGTTCCTTTTCACTGTGTGGATTTAGTCCTATGCCTCTGCCAACAGTGGTTTCAGAAAAAGAATATTCTTCCTATCTCAGTCAGTGACTTGTAAAACATCTAAGGGCACCATTTCAGCTACATTTCACAGTCACATCTTCAGCCAGAGCTGTCGGGTCGACTCCTTTACACCTTACTGCTCTCTTAGAACCAGGAACCCAGTACCCAGGCAGAGAAAAATACCAACACAGTACATCTCTGAAACAGCCTGGCATGCCAAAACAGGACCCTGGACATTTTATACAGCCTGAGGACCCTTTATTATATACCAATATATATAAATATAAAATACACCTTCAAAAAGGACACTGTCTTAAGGTCCTACATGACATAAACACTTAACCCTAGCTGGCTAATGTCAAGATCAAAGGATTCCAGAGCCAAGAGGTACAGGCTAAATAGTCCCATTTGCTTTGCAGAGGGAAACACATTACGCAGAGCCAGTTTTACCCAAGTAAGAGGCAAGCAGGAGGGTGGCATCCCCGGCTTGCCCGCTTTCTGTCTATTAGGAAAAAACAATGCCCTGCATTGACACCACTGTTGCCCTGGGCTGGACAAGTTGCAGGGACAGGAGGTGGCCGAAGGCAGGGTTGGGTCAGACCAACAACTGCCCAGCCACAAGACAGGCAAAAACCTGGGCTTTTTGTGGTTTGCTTTTTCTTTTTTTTGGTGGTAGCAATAGCAGCTCAGAACATTCCTGTAGAGTAAACTTTGAAAATGTGCTCTGCTTCCATTTACTTACAAAGTTAACCAGCTTCATAACACTCATATCGGAGCAGCAAAATAGAGCAGTCCATTCCACTTTAATTTCTTATCAGTTTTAATTTTTAGGTCTCAAGACCTATTCAAAATTTGCCACTTTTCATAGCCTAGATACTATTTATTAAAATAAATACTAATTATCTGTTTAAACCCATCTGAAATATAACCTCCAAAGAATTACTGCCAAACTGTTAACAGAGATAACTGGACAGACAAGCACAAGATAATCACAAAGAAATCTCAGAACAGCAGTTAGGATGTTATTCACCCACAGTAAAAACTTCTGATCCCCTCAGTCATGCGCTTCTTTGCTCCCTGAAAGGTGGTTTATATCTATTTTGTGCTCTTTTTTTTCCAGCTAACAGCCAGTTAATTGTAGATAGTCTGTCTGCTTAGATTCATTTCATTGCTATATGAAGCCAAACTCCACAGCACTAGCATATAGCATTTTATGGCATTGCAATTCAGTAGCTGGCTTTGTATAGCATGAAGGCAAATACATGTATGGGTTTTAAGCATTCTGCCTTTGGATGTCATTTGCTATTCTCATTGCAGTACTGCAAAAGACAAATAAATTGGTAACATCTTCCTTTCTTTTACAGCATTTTGCTTGTAAGCTACCACATCGTCCTCTCTCACTCTGTCTCTAGTCCTAGTCCTATCGTGCTCGTAAGCAGAAACCTACAAAAGCTTTCCACAGTTCAACATTCAGCTAAATAGTAAAACAAATCACAGTCCCGCACGTAAACAGATACTTTCACGACTCCAAACTCTGCTTTCCCCTACTCCAGGTGATCAGCTTGTAGAGGATACCAATAGGTAATCTCTGCAATCTTCCTGGGTTTATAAAGGTTTCTTGCCAGCTTTGTGCTTTTCTCTCTTCCCTCTGAAAATCCTTTTCATTACCTGTGTCCAGACTCCCTGTTTCTGCAAGAGACTCATTTCTCTTTTTAAAAAAAAAAGACCTGTTAGTTTAAACATTAGTGGAAACCTTCTTTTAAAACTCAAAAAAAATCCTCTCCAAAACCCTCCTGAAGCGCAAGTGTGGACCTTGCAGAGTGGCGAGGGCTGACACTGCACAGCCTGTTCAGGAGGAGGCCCAGGGGCTGAGCCTTGCCCGCATCCTGCCCCCACCAACCACGGACCCCAGGGGAAAACCTGCTTCTCCCCCAGCCCCTTCCCTCACAGGGGAGGAGGAAATTATGCTGCAGTGGTGGGAAAGCTTCCGCCTTTGACAATTATAGGGCTCAGGAGAAAAATTCCTGACTGTGACAGTTGCGGCCAGTTGCCCTTTCTCTACTCTCACCAGCTGTGCTATTACTAAGCATTAAGGAGCCTAAAAAAAAAAGCATTTTATGGCAAGGACTGGGTTTATTAATTCTCAACTCACCCACTCGCTTTCATTTCAGGTTACTTGGCTTTTTGACTACAGCTCAGCCTAATTCATCTGGGGTGCACATTTGAAATAGATGGGCAAGGAAAAAAACCAGATGACATGCATTTGGTCTGGGAAGCCAAGAGGAGAGGAAACAGCCGGCACTGGCTGTCTTCATGCTGCCCACAAGACCACACCAGCCAGGTAGGTTTACTTCTCCTTCCCTGGGTCTACAAGGAAAGATTTCATGGGCATAGGGTGGTATTCAGCGAATTACAGGAGAACTGCTCAGATCTGACCTACAGGTTATAAGCAATGAATTTGAGCAGTAGGTAACACTTGTTGCCCTGCACTGGTATATCTGCCCACATGCAACACCCACCTCCTTGCTCCTACCGGCCTCCCTCTTCCCACTGCACTGCGCTGCACTGCCACTACACCATGACATACACAGAATTCACCAGACAGCCTACTGCCCCTCCAGCTGCCCTTTTATTTCCCTACTGCCTCCAGCAGGCAGGTGGGAAACCTGGAAGCACAAGGCAGCTGTGATGGATTAGGGAAATTAAGAAGGGAGCAGTGGAAACCACAGAAGAAGAGAGGAGGAGGAAACGTCTATGTGCCTGTTGCTTTTTTTATTACTTTCTAGGAAAGGTTGGTGAAAGTTGGAGTTGGTAACTTCCTCATGCCTGATGACTCCTGGCTTGAAGTCTGTCACTCTTGGCTCCTGGGTTACAAGTTCAGGCTGGCTGCAGTCTTGGCCTGATCTCTCGTGCCCTTTGGGGAACAGGTTCGACACCCAAAGCTCACAGCAGCGTGCTAGGCTGCTCCATGGGTTGTCTGCACCCCGGCTCCTGGCCAGGGTCTCCTTTGGCCCATCAGCAACACCACCCAGGCCATCACCCCTACAAAATGCTGCCCTCTTTCAGACAATCCCCCACCCAGTTTTAAGCTTGCAACGTTAAAATATCAGAAAGGAATAAACGTAACATTCAAACCCCCAGAAAATACAAAACATCAGTTTCATTATGCAGATCCACACAGTCAGCCTGAGTCTCAAATAAATACTTTACAGCTTTTTTTCTACAAAACGGAATATTATAGTGTAACAAAATAAATAAACATCTATTATAAATTGTCCTTTTTTGTATTTCTCTTGGAGTGAGTCACAGCGGGTTTGCTTGGAAGCCCAAGGTACCGTTGTAAGACGTTTCTCTCTTGCATGTGTAGGGCAGGCAGCTGCTCAGGTGTTCAGCAGTGGGCCGGGGCTGGGGGGCATTGCGGGAGCCTGCCTGCCCGCAGCACCATACTGCCCGCACTTCTTGGCCTTAGTACAGGCAGGAAGGACCTAAAAAAGAGAGGTTGTTGGACCTTTTGTCTTCTTCAAAATATATGGATGTTTTAAGTGTGGGGGTAAAGATACGGGCTATTTGTGTTACTATATATTTGTGTGGCTATTTGCATCTCTCTGTGTGAGGGGACGCTAAAGTTTTCCCCTCACAATACCCCAGCAGGCTCCACCTTGGACCTAGAGGCATGGCACCCATGGAAGACATGTATCGCACTTCCCTCCACCGCTTCTTTTTCTCCAAAACACTCAGTCAGAAGCCAGGGTGCATGCTCTAGGCATATCCCGCAAGGAGGCTGCAGTGCCTTCAGCGCAAAACTGGGCTGTGATTTTCTGAGACGATGCTACCTCGCTCAGTTTCCCCCTGCCTCGAGCTCGACAGCCCCAGTGGACAACCAGCAGCGCCTCAGCCCCTGTCGCCGCGTGGCGCCCCGGGCTTTCCTCCCAGAGGCACGCTCTTCCTCTAACACCCCGTTTTGTGTGAGACACATCCTCAAAGCCGCTTCCTCCGCAAGGTGCACTGGCTGTGCCGGAGCGAGGTTATTTTAGGAGATGCGGAAGGATGGTGCAAGGGTACGGCCACTGCTTGCACAACTATTTTCTGGATAAATATAGTAACAGTGACGCTTCCTCTGCAGCACGCCTTGTCATTGGGAATGTTTTCTGTCATCACTGCCGGGCAATTATAGGCCTGGCTAAGCGTGTTCAGGTTTCCCCTTCCCAGTGTGCTGCTACCCAGCCGTCTGGTTGGGGGTTAACGTCTTTGTCCCTCTCCAACCCGGGTGCAGCTGGGGCTGGGCAGCACACAGCCAGCCCTGGGGTGGCCGGGCAGAGCTGGGTCCCAGCATCGAACCCTGTGACCGGTGGGGGCGAGCCCTGCAGCACCCCGGGGAAAGGCAGACCTACCCAGCATGGCCGGGCTGGGTTTCTCTCTGGGTCACGTAGGTGCCTGAGGCAGCGACGGAGGAGGCAGGCGAGAAGGAGGAGGGAAGTGAGGGTGACCAGCACCCCCACTGCAATGGCAACGGCCGGTGCCATGCTGCTGTCTGGACCTGTGGGGAAAGCAGCAGGTACTCGGTTTGTGCACGAAGAAGATAAAACAACCCCTAACCCGTTTCAGACATGCCTTGGCCAGTCCCCCGAGGTGAGACGGGGTAAATAGGGACACTGGGAGCATATGCCAGCACGCACACAAGCGGCACTGCCAGCAGACCTGTGCGTGGGGTCTGATGCTGCGGTTGGGCGTGCGACACCCAGTCCCTCCAAGCTACCCAAAGTCGACGCGTCTTGTTGGTGTGTCAGGCTATGTGACAGAGAAACCCTGCGAGTCCTTGGCAGAGGCAGGGAAGCTGGGGCACGTCATGGCGTGTAGGGGACATGATGAGCTGTAAGACATTGTATGCCATTGCCTGGGGTGTCTGGATGCTCCCTGGCACCTCCTCCACACTTCCCAAGCCCAGCCCCGGCTGCTTTTCCAGGTGCCTTCCCCACCTGCCCCCAACCCTCTGCGGATTTTCCTGATCTACCCCAGGAGGTGTTTCGCCATCTCCTCCCCACTCCAGGACAGGAGCAGGGTTTCATACTGACCCTGCTCCAGGCTGTCCGTCGGCAGGACCAGGGTCACGTTTAGAGAGGGGTGTTGGATCACACAAGCAATGGGGTGCTCCTGGAGGATTTTGGGGTTGGCGTGGGTGAAATTGCTGATGACGGTCACAGTCTCGTTGCCGAGCTTGATGTGGTACTCCCTTGGTTTCTGCTGCAGGATGCTGGGAAGGTGCCAGGTGATTTTTGGAGCTGGCTTCCCTGTTGCTGAGCAGCTCATCCCCACCACTTTCTCAGAGTCCTCCGCTTTGTCTGGACTGGGTATGAGCTTAGCCTCCACTTTGGGGTCCGAGATGGCTGTAAAACACAAAGTGACAAAATCTGTTACTTTCTGCTCAGGTTTGAGCAAAAAGCATCTGTATTTACCGTTATGTTGGAGAACAACCTTGATATCTAATCTTGCCTCCCCCTCCCCAAAGCCCTGGCAGTAACAAATAAACATGGAAGTGATCAGGCAGCAGTCTGGAAATGAAGAGCTTGGCAAAAACAGAGGACAAGAACGTAGAAGCATCCGTGTTTTAATTCTGTTATTAACAGCAGCGCTGCAGCATCCCAACTGAGAAGTGATTGTGAACGAGTAAAAAGCAACAGGGAGTCAAACCATGAAACCACACGTCCTCCTTCCTCTGAAAGGGCTGAACTGCTTCAATGAGTCAAAATTCTTGTTCTTTTCCCTCACACGTATCTGCAGGATTAACTTTACTGCTGTTTGAGATGTGTAGGCTTGTGGACCAAAGGACTAAATGCATCTATTTATGCAAGACAGTAAGAGTGAATTCGTATGTGGTTACGCCGCAGGATTTCACCTGTGGAGGTTTTGGGCTTGTACAACTTTCTTCCCTCTACTGTTGGGTTTTGGGGGTTTCACAATATCCCTCAAAACCTTCATTAAAGATCATTTCTTCTGAACTCCTTCTCACCCTAGAAGATTTGTGGATGCTATCACATTTAGCCTTAGTCAGCAAGAAGGATGAATTACAGGCTTCATTTATGCTTACTCACTCGCATGAAGCCTGCTTGTTGATTTCTAGTTATACAAATAGTATTTGCAATGAATAAAGAAAGGGGAGGAGTGCAGGAAGCTGTTTTCAACCTGGGTAGAACTCCAGGGGAGATCTGAACACATAAGGACACGTCTATCCCCTGTGGAAAATCACTTATTTACTCCTCAGCCATAAAATCATACCATAGTTCAGGTCAGAAAGGACCTCTGGAGGTCATCTAGTCCAAACCCCTGCTCAAAGCCAGTCTAATTAGTTCAGTTTGCTCAGGCCAAGAGTGCAATCCACAGGTTTCTGTATAGCAGCTCACCAGCTGCCTTCTACTTCAGTACATGTGCTGATGGTATAGGGGTCCAAACCACACTCTACTTCTAGGTCCCTGTTTCTGAGAATATTACTTTTTAAAAACCATTTAAGTGCAGTAGCAATTCTAGTTTCATGCAAGTCTGAGTTAATATGAATGCCCTCTGATTAAAAAAGTATCTATTACTATATTTAGCAGTACTCCATGTGTATATTACTATTTATATAGCAAAAATAACAATGTTCAGCACAATATTGATGCTGAAATTAATTATTGTCCCAACAATATCAAACGTATCACTATCATTTACTGATCCTACTTTTAAACAACAAAAAAAATCTGTTTATTCTTCTTAGGAAAAAAATGATTCTTTTTCCTTTTGGGAGGTAAACGAATATTTGGACGCGAATGTGGTATAGCAGACACCGAATGATCCTGTGAAAGGGAGAAAAGACTTGTGCCAGATGCATCATAATGCCTATAACCTCCTGGTACAATTCCAGATGCATCTCACGAAGTTGTCTGGATCTTCCAAGCCATAACTGCCGGAGGGTGGAAGCAAGAAATTGTATACCATCAGTTTTGCTTTTTTTTTTTTTTTTTTTTTTTTGTTTTTTATGGTTGAACCTTATTTATTTACTATGGTTGTGCCTGCCTAGAAGAAAAAAAAAAAAGTGGGTATTTCTCATTTTTTGTGTCACCCATGGATAGAAACTCAAACCCCACAGAGTTGACGAAACCTGCTAGTGTTGCTTAAAGAGCAACAAGAAAAGCATGTGGGGGGATTTCAGCTGGAACTTCTCAAAATCTCCCATATATGAAAAGACAAGTGTCACAAGCAGTTTATGTTTTGATTAATAAACTATCTCTGAACTTCTTCTTTCACTCACGGGATGCATAAAAATAACATATCCACCCCGAACATTAACTTCAAATATTAGGTTGCAACACCCAAAAGCAGTAAAGGAAAGCTGTCACAAGTGTTTCCAGAGGGGATGAGAAAAATTGCTTAGTATCTTGGCAGAAACACACACACTCTCCACATCTGCTCTTCTTCTGACTAAGCAGTCCTCTCTTCTCACATTGGACCCCAAGGACTGAGTATCATGTGAAAAAAACCCTGTGGGGTTGAGCTTCCCCTCTGCAAGTGTCTGTAATAGATGCAGTCAAAACCTCTAAGTGCTTGTTTTTGCAGTAAAGTCCTGCTACACTGTTAGCATGTGCCCACTGTTGATGTTTGATGCATACACTTAAATTAACTGCTTCTTTTGCCTTTCATCAAAATATTTGTTTCCAGTGAAAAAGTACCTACAAGGGATGTTGTGGGCAAGTACTTGCTTTAGTAGCTCTTGCAGAGCAGTAATGCAAATGTTCCTGAATTCAAGCTGTGGCAGTGTTCCCAGGTATTTGAAGATGGGACTTTCTAGTGAAGTGCATCAGCTTTGATTATCTGTAATGACCTTCTGTAATTAAAGGGGGACTGTCAGGTCATGATGTGCTTTTTGTATTTAAAGGCTTGACAGTGGTCTCAGAGAGACTGATAAAAAAATGTTAGGAATTACAGTATGCCTTGTGGTGACGGAAAGCCTTTTCCAACCATATGGGTGTTCACTAGCAACACTGTGCCTCGGTTTCCCTGTCTAAGAAATAGTGATGGCATTTTTCCTCTGTGCTCGAGACTTCCAGGTGAATGGTGCCATCCACAATGAAGGCAGAAAGTCTCTGAAGACGGCCCAGCAAATGCCCAGGGAATTTTGTGACCCAGCAAGTCTTGCCCATTCTCGTGTAGCACATCCCCTTTCTCCGTATCTGCTCAGTCAATCCCCTTCCTGGGTGTCATTCTCATCACCTTTGGTGCTGAAGGTCGGCAAAACATTTCCAAAGCAAAATGGAGGGGGAAGGGGAGCAGGCAGTTCAAAAGAGACCAGCCAAGCACACTTGAAACTATTCTGTTCCAAAATGGGTTTTGCTACAGGGTAGGAAATTTCTGCTGCTTCTTGGGTTTGGTGTTTTCAGCCAGGCAGGTCTGAGTTTCCTCCAGTCATACCTGTTTCTTTTTTCACAGTGTTGTATCCAGTTCTTACGCCGTTTCACTTCCCCTCATTACACAGCAAGGGTGCCTGTCCTGGAACAGCCCCTCTTGCGAATGCTGTTGTAATCGGGCAATTACCAGCCTGTAAACTCCCTGGCAGTCCCCTCTTGAGGGCAAAGACATGGCAGCGTTTCATTTTCAGCTGGTGACTCTGACTTGCTCACCTTGCGCTGAATCCCTGAGCCTTGGGAGATTCCTGCTGGCTTCACACTCCATCCCAGGAGTCCTCTGGGCTTGTTCAGACAAGTTGTTCCCATCATTATGAGTTGGGGTATAAGGGAGTAAGACTGTGGCTTTTAAGTAGCATTGCATAAATTAGCTCCGATGAAGTACACCACATGTTAACCGAGATCTTCTGTCACAGTGCCGAACACTTAGTTTATTCACGGTGACCCTCCAGGACATGTTCAATAAAGCATATTTCAGGGAAGCCACCATGACCACGGTGAGCCAGCCCCTGGCAGTGGCCTACAAGCCCACGCTGGGGCAGCAGGAGCTGCGGGCTCGTGCCTACCTGAGAGAAGTGAAACCCTTCTCGTCTGATGGATTTTTCATCTGAGATGCTAATGGGAATGTGTGTAACAGCAGAAAAACATTTGTTTTTTAAAGTACTGCTCTGCTAAAGGATGAATCATAACCACAAGGTTGGTGATTTTGGGAAATATTTCCCCCACTTGAATAAAAAACCAAACCAAACTAAACAACAAAACAAATCTAACGCTGTGTTCAGATTTTCATGATAAACAAGAATGGGATCCCTCTACAAGGCACTTCCATATTTTTCTGTAATGTATAATCAGTATTTACCCTCTGAATGGCTGGCTGGCTGAAGGATTACCCTCCTCTTCATATCTGAAATACTGAGTGAATTTCTCCTAATTTCTCTTTTCTGCTCTGGGAGCTTTCCCAAGAAAGAGGAGAAAGAGCTTTTGTTCCAGGCTTGGTTTTCCCTTGTATTTCCTGCCCTCCATCTCCCCTCCTTCCCCTACTGCTTAAGTCATCTTTCCCCTATAAGCCAGGGACATTTTGTTTTCCACGCAGAGGACTCTTGGCATGTGGGTATGTGTGTGGGCATATGCGTCTGCGTCTTTGTCAGCAGAAGGTACTAAGGATAAACAAAATACTCTGCAGGGATCATATCACCAGCAGCAGGTCCCAGACACTGATATTTTCCACGTGGGACATGATCTTTGGCCAGCATCCCCACAGCAGAGTCACTGATGAGAAAGTCAGGAGCCAACAGGGTGTCCTTAGGGCATGTTTAATGTCTCAGCTTTCTCACTGGCAGAAAACCAAGAACCTCTCTCAGAAGATAAACAGCTTTTCACTCTTGCTCCTTTTGAGTTCATCTATTTGCCTATATTTCAGCTTGTACTTGCTAGCTGATGATTTTGTATGGAGGTGTCAAATATTGCTACCTCGACTCATGATTTGTTTTAACTCTCTTCTTGAAGCTAATTGATGCTGGCCTGCACAAGATATTCATGTGGCAAAGCCCACAAGCTCTGCTATTTTTCAGCCTTTTTTTTTTTTTTTGCAACCCTTTCCTAAGCCCAGGCTAACTATTGTCATTTTTACTATAGCTTCAAAATCAGCTTCCAGATACTCTGGTCATGCATATGCCTCTCTGCCTTTTGAATACCTTGAATTTTTCTAAGACCAAAGGCAGAGTAAGAAAAAAGTGCCTGATTTCTAGTCTTAGGAGGCAAAAGCAGCAGTGAAAGGAAGCAGAGGAGCATGGCGTTCATGGTTGCGGCAGGCCAGCTGTCAGCACAGCACACGGTCAGGGAAACTTGGAGGAAGTCATGGGTTACACATCAGCTTTTGGATCTTGCTGTTGTTGATTTAAAGAGGAAGAAAATTAAAGAACTGTTGAGCGCTGGTTTCCCATCAGAGGTAAAACCAGAGAGGGAGGGAGAGCTAGAGAGGAAGCTGAGCTACCTTTCCTGCAGCAATTTAGCAATGACCAGTGGTCAGGGAAGGTTTTCCCCAGGGAAAATGACTTGGTCCTCAGATGACAGCCCATACGCAATTATGATGCCTTACCGTAAACCTTGAGACACATCCTGCTGGAGACAGCCCCCAAGGGGAATGTGTTGAAGATGCACTTGTAGCATCCTTCATCTTGGAGGGTGACAGCATGAAGGGAGATGGCTGAGACTTGTAACTCAGTGTGGGCAAAGCTCACGTGACCGACATAGCCCTTTGCTATCTTTTTGCCGTTCATCGTACTATAAGTCGCTATGTTGTCTTCAGCCCCGTCTGTCTCCTTCTGCCAGGTCACCTGTAGCACATCTTCTTTTGTGACCAACCGGCATGAAAAAGTAACGTTTCCTCCCACCCGGACCGACTGGACCGTTGTGTGCATCACCTGCACAGAGCCTGGGGGAGAAGCAGGTGCCACACTCAGCATTTCTCACCACCCTCCTGCAACCCACCCCCCTCAGAAGCCCCCCAGCCCTTTGCCCTCACTCCTGAGCAGAGCAGCTCTGGAGGGTCTCTCTGCCCCTCCATCCAGGGAAACAGTGAAAACACAGCTCCAAAGAACTGCCCTGAGATTTTTGCTGGACCTGACACTTCTCACACAAAGCACCTTGCATGCCTGGTATCTGTGCTGCAGAGAGCAGCACCAAGAAAGGCAGCTGTGGTGCCGGGAGAAATTGATTTCTGTCCGCTAAGACTGTTATCCCATAGGCGCCCGCGGAGAAGTTCCCTAAATGTTCAGCCATGCTAATAACCAGACGGCTCTCTGAGTCCTCCTGTGGTGCAGAGAGAAGCAAATCAGTAAAGCTGCTAAAAATTATTACGTGTATCACTACACATCATGCACCCACTCTTGTCAGAGACTGACAAGAGAAGAGAAAACCAGAAGGAAAAAGGAAGGTAGGCAGGAGCAGAGGCAAACTGCATCCATCCTCTTATCTCAGGCTTGAGGCTTTGCAGCTGGGAAGCAGCTGAGACTCTGCTGAAGGTCCACGGACGGAAAACTTTCATAGCATAAATGCCCTGGTATTAAAGATCTCCCGGGAAAAGAAAAAAAAAAAAAATCAGTCTCCTCTTCCAATTCACAGACACATGTGGAAAAACTATTAAGGGGACAGGCAAGCAAAATGGATACTCCCAGGTTTGACAGCTCAGCTCCACAGTCCTCTTAGGATAATAGTTTTTAAAGTTTATTTGTGTACATCAGCATAGGAAGGGAGATGTCAGCAGGAACAGTTATAGCACTGTAAACATACAATTCAATTTACAAGAAAGGGAAGTATCTTTGCAGGCTTTAAAGAGGAGTGAGGCTGTCTGCAGTTCACCAAAGTACACCTGGCTAACCCGCCCGACAAAGCTCTCCCAGGTCCTTCCCCCTCCATGGCTGTGGCCATGGCCAGACAGATCTCCGCCGGAGACCAAGAAGCCGGCTGTGAAGCTGTGCCAGTCATTTTGCTTTTCAGAGCTCAGTAGTGCCATAGTCAGAATATAAACTATGACCATGGAAGCTAGTTTGAAACAAATTCAGGCTTTTCTACATGATTTCTAATTACAAAACCAAATGTAACACATCCGCGCTTTTAGCGGCCTGAGCAGAGACCTGCAAGCACCATGTCCATCACTGCAAATAATTCTGCCCTGGCTAAAGCAAATCAGTGCCATACTCTGACCCAAATCCCAGCCACAACAGGAGATGAAATCAAACTTCAGACATACAGGTCATTGGAAGCATTTGGACATTCGCCTGGGTTATGATCTGCAAATTGCAATAAATTCATATACCTGGCTGCAGCTTATAAATACACTAGTGGTAAATTAAGGAGAGGATGCTGTCAACGCAACCAGCAGCGACGCGTCTGAAGCCCAGGCGAGCGGTGCTGTCGTGTGCAGTGCCACAAGTGCCCCGTCACTGCTGGGCTCGCCCTGGGAGGGACGCCAGCTGGGGACGGCAGCACCCAGCAGCACAGCACCAGGCCGGCAGGACCACCCAGGTCCCTCATGCCATTACGATAACGATACAGACAGACGGACAAGGGAGTTACCTGACGCGACGGTCCAGACACTGAAGAGGAGCAGACAAGCGACCATCATCTTAGCTGTGCGCTCAGTGAGACGAGCGAGCGAGCGACTGATCCATTGAGTGCGGCTTCCCCTTTTTTATACACTTCGCTCTTACTGTAGGGACATTCCCACTGTAAGAGACGTACGGTAAGAGGCACCTCATAAAAACCTCCTGCCTCTCTCGCGCTTAACTGCATAACAAAAATTTCAGGGGACATGACAACAAATGTCAGAGCCAGAAACTGAAGATTTCCCAGCTGGGCTGCTAGATGGACCGGTGTAACGGGTTATGAAGCTGGGTTTTTCACAAGCGCCTTTTCCATAAGGTTAGGTTTTTGCGAGTGCCTAAATACAAGCCCAGATTTCTAAGCTGGCTGAACACCCAACGTCTGCGGGGCGCAGGAGGAAAGGCCACCCTGGCCCTGACCTGAGCTCAGGGAAAGAAGCCCAGGTCAATAGTCACGCTGTAACGAGTAGTACAAATGTCCCCAGTATGGAACTCAGAGGACCCAGTTGGGGATCTGCACCCCACGTGTAAACCAGGAGCTGCTGACGCTGCTGTAACACAAGTTTTTTTCCGGGTAAGGAGACCAGAGGAAACCAAGCACCCACCCCAGGACCTAGGTCATATGTCGCCTCAGGGAAAAAGCAAAACCTCGGTCTCCCCTCTCCTCCATTGAGGTTGCCCCCATCTCCACAGGCCCATGCTCCTTCCTCAGCCCTGCTCCTTGGAAAGACAGGGCTGCCGTCCCACAAGCGCACCCTTTCCCCTCTGCCCTCACCTGAGGCGACATAAAAATAACTCACACGGCCATTTTGCGTCATTGTTTTTGTGCCTTCTTGCTTTGTCATTTTTAGGACTGTGTTTCTCTTTTTCTGCCAGCTGTGATCATGTTGCTGAAACCAACACAGCCCTCAGCCCACAGGTCCCTCACACACCGCGCAGTGGGGTAACCAGGCAGCGAGACCTCATTTGCTAATCAAACTTGTAGTGGTAAACCGTGTTTCTTGTTTCAGCTTTCTGATTAGGTGGCTTACATTTTTGCAAAGTCTTACCACTCCAGATGACTATGATTGCACTAAAAATGTTTTCTTTTAGTTGAATTGCTGCACAGATTAACCTTGAATCATGCAAATAGGTTGGGGGAAGCCAACAGGCCGAAATCATAACGTGACAAAAAAAAATTCTCAGACATGCTTACGCATATGCCGTTCCTTCTCCTCTACCAAGTGGTAATTAATTATCTGAAAATAGAAACAGCTCAAGTGTCAGTATTCCTCTAAAGAAACATTTCAGATGTGCTTTTGAGTAGGTTCAATCATTCATTCCCGTCACTCTCCTAACTGCGATTGCTTCATATTATTGTCTTTTTCCTTTGAGGTATCACATCTCATTTTCCTTTCCTTGAGTTATTTTCCTAGTTGCATTTTCCTGCAAGGTTTCTCAAAGGGCATTCTGGCCTGACCAAAAAGTGAACTCAATGAAAAACAGTTCTTGTGGGGTTTGCCAGACCATTTTACAGCTATTAAGCAATGCAAATAGCTCCAACAGGCTCTGGACCAAGTCAGAGAGAAAACTGCCAACCTCGAAATGGAGATTCACCAGCAAACATTTAATTTCTGATTGTCAGCATCTCAGAACTTCCAAAACTGAAAAAAACATTGAAGATTTGCTGAAACTATGTCCTTTTGCACCAAAGCCTCCTAGCAGGGCGCAAGACCTATGCAGAGATTCATTCCAAGCTTTGCTGGTGTCCTCACCTTAGCCCTTCTACAATTTTGAAAGAGAAGATAAATAGAACTTCCCACAAGATTGCAGACACTGTTGATAAGTCCTTATAGCTGAACTTCACCACTTAGCGACCACAAACGGAACTGCACTTGATTTAAAAAACTGCAAACCCAGTTGATGTATTTTTCTGCTCATAGGAAATGTTCTTGTCGGCTTTAACCGTTTTATTTTCTGCCAGAAACACTCTAATCTTCTGAAAGTCCTTCCAAACAGTCCTGAAAACCTGGGTGCTGCTACAGCAAACACCTTTCAATAAAGACCAAACCTTCAGCCTTAGCAACATCCAAGCAAAGGATAGAGATGGCTGTTGCAGCTGGAAAAATGTGTTGGCTTTAAATTGTTTACAGCATCCCCTTCCTGGTGATAAAAAGCGCCACGTACGTTGGCTGCTCCTTCCAGGCTCTGCCTCTCTCCTGACAGCTCCTGACACCACAGGGAACCTGGGCATGCAGGGATCTCCCTCCCAGCCCACGTGCGTGGGTGTCCGCATGCGCATCCGACTGCTGCAGCGTCTTTTTCTGACCCCCCCCTTCCTCCAGGGACCAGCCAACGTCAGCAGCTGATTCATGACTTTAAGGCAGGCAGGAATGTGAGGTCCACTCATTAACCCCACCACTTACTTATTTCTATTCTGTGAGTTCATCTTTAAGTGCATTTATTCAGACAGTTCCTGATCTGTTTGTCTTTGCACAGACTTTTGGTGGATTACAGACCTCCTCCTTGCTTGTCAGTCAGTTCCCATGCTCTCCTGCTTCAGCTGCACAGCAGCTTCATTTCTGAGATCTGCACACCATGCCTGAGCTTCAGGCACTTTCCAAAGCCAGTATAAGCTGGGGAATAAATTAGGCAGAAGATAGTTCTGCAGTCACTGCTTGAAAAGCCCAGTGATTCACATTCTTCCCTTCCTTTCTGCTGCACTAGCATGGTCTCTCTAGTTCCCAGTAAAACAAAAAAGGACATACACGAATTAACTGCACAGTCACTAAATGACAACATTTCCACATAGCCCAAGTGACTAATAATATTGATAAATCACATACTTGAACTTCTGGAAAATGTTGCCGATGGGAGCCACTCAGGCACAATTGTAGTCTAAAACATTATTTTGTCAACCATCAAGCTAAAACATTAGGTTTTCAGCCATCCAAACCCAGGGTAACAACCGGGTAGATGCCTACCTTGGCAGCAGGATTCAGCGCCACCTCTCAAGGCAATGCCTGTAAAGAGAACAAAACAGAGAGAGACGGTTTCATCCGCTGCTGAATTGTAGTGACTTTTGGAGGTTGGTCCATCAGTACTAGTAGTCGGTATCACTATAGGGAAGCAGCTTGTCAAATGCAATTGAACAAGCCTGGCACCTTATAACATGTTTGTAAATAATGCTGGCATACAGCAAATCCCTCTACATCGCGGCTAGATTTGGAGAGCTGTACTACACTGGGGTAAAGACAGTAGCTGCATCTGCTGAAGTACACTCCAGCCTGTGTCGCTGCATCGGGGCTGGCTGTGGCAGGACCTGCAGTCAGTAGCCAAAGGCTGCTGCAGGACCAGGTGATGCTCATTTGGGCACGGCTACAGACTAAGTGTCATGTTTGTGAACAAGTTCTAGATCAGATAGCACAAGGGTAGCTTGTACACAGCCACAGCTGTTTATCCTTGATCGTGTTTGACTTGGAGGTATTTGATCTGTCATGTCTTCCCAAACTGGGCTCCCTCCCTCTGCTACCACAGTGCCGTCGGCTGTAGTAAAGGACTGCAAATTACAGCTGCCAGTGCTGAAATCTGGTGTGGGATTGCCTAGCAAAGTGCAAAAGAGAAATGAAGGAGGTGAGCTGGGCTGCTTAGCTGAGATCTAGCTTGCGGTGATGTACGTCTATCTGCAAAACCACATGTTACTGGTGGACAGCACACGTGGCACTGTCCAGTTAACCACCTGTCACTTTTCACCTCTGCCTTTTGATGAAATTTCTGCAGACACCTGAAGTCTTACAGAGATTTTTTTTTTTTTTTCTTCTTTTCCAGCAAGGCACCACAACTTCAATGCGTGAATTAAAATATACTTACTCCCCTGAACCATCAGCCCTGCAAATTGTATTTCTGGTTCTTCTATTTTTCCTCTTCCTTGTTGCTTAGGAGGAAGAAAAAGGAATAAAAAAAAAGACAAAAAGGAGAGGAGGAAGCAAAACCAGATTGCATTGGAAAGCTTCAGTTACAAAGGCTGTGCTTTGTTGGGGTTTGAAAGGTTTGGGTTTTACTATTCCGTTCGTCGCACCATTTCTCAGAAGAGCAAGATGACCAGGCATGTGGTTTCCTCTTGCTGAGAGCACTCCAAGTTGCTATTTCAGTTGAGGGATCCTAGAAGGAGCCCATGCTGCAACCCATTAGCCTCTTCATGGAAGCCACCAGCACCAGCACACCATTGGCAGCCCCAGCACGCCAGGAAGCCACGTCATTTATCCATTCCTCCCCCTTTCCTCTCCCACCCCCACTCGTCAGTGCTTGTCTGCGGTGGAGGTTTGGGGTTTAGGCTTTTTTTAGGTGCACATTATCTGGGTGCTGCATACACTTATTGTGTGGGAGACAATGAGCCTCTTTGGTCACTGAGCTTCATTCTGTAACACAGCCAGTGCAGAAAACAGTTCAGCCAGCAGAGAAACCACACCAAAATTGGCTACCCAAGGGTGCAGAGATCCAGTGGAAGGATGGGAAACTGCCTACCAAAAATGAGGTAGGTTCAATACCATTTTATACTTAATTACTAAACAAGAGGGCCGAGGGAGTGATTTTATGAAAAATACGAGCAATGATACGTATAATGAATCAGCCTTAAGGGACCACGAGGAGCCTCTTGATTAAACAAAGGTAATTTAGCAAGCAAATTAAGATGAACAATATGGTTCTTAGTAAGTCAAAGAGTATCGCCTCAGGATGATTTTTAGAGACATGACTTCATCTGTAGGCTCCCAGCGCTGGGAGCCTGCTAAAGGGAGGAAGGGTGTTACAGGTGAGAAACACAAGAAGCAGAGCGTGCTTGTCATCTGCTCTGAGTTTTGAGGCAGGAGAACTACACTTAGAGGTTCACCTTGTCATCTCTTACCTGTTGGCACTGCGTCTCATAAAGACAAGCTTTTTATACGCTATATAGAAATAGATTAAATTATACAATATATTTAAATGCTGTACATGGGATATATAAGTATACTAGGTATGTACAACAGTGGTTAGGAATAGATTGTCT